AAAAAAAAAAAAAAAAAAAAAATCCCAGGGAAGATCTGTGATTAATGTGGCCTTCATCCTGGTTGTGACCTGCTTAGACTAAATGCTTCAGGCAAGGGAATGGGGTTCTGTAGATTCTATGATTATTTGAGAATGAGTTTCATATTTTGCTCTTCCTTCCTATGTGGACATGAAATTGGTGGAGCTGTCCCCCAAAAGGGGGAATGGGACAGTTTGTAATTTAATGTGATGATGGTAAACAGCCTTGACAGCAGATTATGCCTCAGTGTGACTTTATATTAAACCTATGGACCCATGCATATCATCCCAGGCTATGGTGTGTTTTAGATGATCTTGCCTTTTAATTTTTTTAATTAAAACTTTATGTAATTTTCTGAAATTTTCTGAGGGATCTTTAAGAGCATGCACTGATACCACTGTTGATAGTCTGATCATCTTTGAGGGTTACTCCTACTCTCTTGTTGGTTCCTGGTTTTAACATCAGCCATTATTTTCAGATGTACATAGTCACTGGTCTTAAAAAACAGCTTAATTCTCAGCAGGCCCCACCCTGTGTGTTGATGGCATTATAGCCATTAATCTGATTTCTTGATCTTGAAGAGATGCTAAACCATGGGAATGGTATTCCTGTGCTGCAGTGTGAGCTTGCACCAACAGGCTGTCCTTGTGGGGGAATTGAAATATCCCTGTGCTTAGTGTCTGTGTTGACGTGCTGACAAAGCAGTCATTTGTGTGCCCGGTAGGATAGCAACTATTGTTACGAAAAATGTTACGAAGGCTACAAGCATCCTTACTTTGTCAACATATAAAACATGTTGGGTAGTATTCCATTTTATAGAAAAACCACAAATTCTTTATCCAATCTCCAACTGATGGGCAAATGGGCTGTTTCCAAGTTTTAGCTATTACAAACTGTGCTGCTATAAACATGGGTGTGCATATATCACTCTGGTATGATTCTTTTAATTCTTTTGAAAAGATACCCAGAAGAGGGATGGCTAGGTCAAATGGAACCTCTAGTCCCTCATTCATAGGAAAATGGATACATATTGAGGATATACTCCTAAGTGAAATAAATAAGTCACACGTGTAAATACCGAATAGTTTCTCTGGTGTGAATAAACTGTAATATTACATAACATCCTAATGAGATAACTGACATTGTGAAATGGGAAGAAAAGGGCTAAAGGTATAGGGAAAGTGGGAAGGGTAGGGGAAAGGTAATAAGGGAAAAATATGAGAAAATGAAAAAATGGATATAAAGTGTTTGTAAATGGGGAGGGGGAGGGGGTGAAAAGAGGGCAGGGACAAGGGGAAAAAATGAGAACCAAGACCACCTGTCATGTAAAGGTACAAGATCCCAATAATGAATGTAACTGTACTGTATACTTAAAATGTACCAAAAAACTCAATTAAAAAAAAAAAAAAACAGGTTGGGCGATGGGTCATCCCATTACTTGGGATTCTCAAGTTCTCTGGCTAAAAGTTAAAAATCATCTCAGTGTAATCTGGATTTCTGTACTTCTGTAGGCATTGAACATATGTTGCCTTAGTAATATGCAGGGGTAGAGGCAGGATGAGAGTTGTTCCTTCTTTGCGATCCTTACCTTATCACTTCCTTGAAATGACCAAAATCTCTGCAATTTTCCTTTGCAGAAAATTGGCTTCTGGCATTTTTTTTTTCAGCGCACATCTTTTATTTGCTTATCATAATCAAAACTGACTTGTTTTGTTTTCTGTCTTACTAGGACATGACGATTTTC